TTACATGGTATCCCTCCCTCTCACCACAATTCAATGACTTCATCTTCTTGACATGGTCTTACATCTACTTCCATGGTGTCCTGCTTCTTCTTCGGCAACACCTTACAACAATTCCTCCGCGGCGGCTGTCGGAAAACAAAAAGTTCCAATAGTTAAAACCCGACAAAACCTTAACATAAATTAAGAAATCAAATAAACTATGGAGACGTCGAAGGATCTTTTTCCACATGCATTAATTAACTACCTTTTCCCACACATGCGGATCGGGTCTTTTATAAACCTCGACTATGTTAATCCTAGAAGGATCCGCCATGTTCCATTTACAATCCGGTTTCTGCAAATGACTCCGAACATATTTACTGACCGTCTGGTTCGCCGTCGTCCGGTCGAAGGACGCGTTAGACAGATAATAGATGAACGGTTTCTCGCAGACATGATTGCTGAGGAGACGGGTGTTGAAGGAGTAGCCGTACATGTCGGCTCTTTTGTACCAATGAAAGAAAGTTCTGGCCGGAACTTCCAATTCCCGGACGGAAATGATGCCGCGGATGATCTGAACGGCGTAGCCCCATGACACCGACACCGTCCAGCTTCGGGTCTTGTCGTAACATACTGATTGTTGCATAAGGCCCGCTGAGTCCAACTTAATGGGCTTGGTTAACTGTTTCAGGGCCTTTACGCGATCCATGTCAGGAAAAATGGGCTCCACTACGTCCAAGTGGTGGAGAGAGACTAGGGGTGCAATTGGGTGTGCCGCCAAAAGCCCAAATACATTGCCGAAAACATCAAACTAATAAACAATATATAAATTAGATTAATTAATTAGTTGAAATATTAGTAACATTTTAAGAAGAAAAAAAATGTTTATCATCCAGATGTAAAAATTAAGCAGACAAGTACCGAAATTTGTCTTTCTAATAAATTCAAGAATGTTTATTTGTACCAAAATCTAATAAATAAATTAAAGAGTGTTTATTGAAATTAAAAAAAAAATTATTACAATAATTATGACTTATACTTTTATTTTCACCATTATATTAAATAAAAAATTCTAACGTAATTTTTCTCTCTTTTAAGGTAAGAGTAAAATTAAAATATTAGTATTTATTGCATAATTAAAATATAAAAAAATAATTAAATATAACAATTATTATTTAGAGAGTAAAATAACTAAATTCAATTAAAAAACGTAATAAAAAGTAATTTTTTTTAAAATTTTTTTTAACCCACATTACTTATAGTATGTTGCATATACGACTGGAATCGAAGAATCTATAAGTCTAGCATCTTTTATTTCCATTGACATAGTTCAGAATAACTTGTTTATTAAAGTTTAGTTAATCTCAAATATTTTAAATAAAAAGAGCTTATAGTAATATTAGGGGGTTTGGTAATCAACTACCTGTTGC